TTACAATATGTACAAATAGAACTTTTTTTTTTTTTTAAATCAAACTAAGGCCACACATTCAATAAAGAAGTTACTAGAATCTGCCAGGTCTAACCTAGTCAATTTGTTCAAGCTTGAAGAGATCCTAGCTCTTATCACATTATTGATCTTGCAGCCAGGACAGATAGGAGCCACAATGTATAGCAGAAAACACAAACATGAAGCCGGTACAAATCCTAGGGTTGGCTGTAGAGATCATCTGCAATGGAGGTGGTGTTTCTAAAGCTGCCCATACACTGTTATATTTTCTTTATTCAACCTGCAGGCTGAACAAAGAAAATATAACAGATTCCTCCATCAACACTTGTGATTAGAGGTGCACCCAAATGAAAATGTTAAAACCGAAATGAAACCAAAATGAAAAAAAAAAAATGTTGGGCCGAAACCAAAAATGTTTATTTTTCTAACTTTTTCAAATATTTTTTTTTTTAATAAACTGTTTAATGTTTTTATATTTTATTTTACATTTTTTACTTTACTGTTGGGGGCTTTGGGGAAATATTGTGTGTGTGTGAACAGAAATCCTCTATAAGGAGTGTTCCTGTTCATTTATAACATGTGGAGATAGTGTGTTTACCATGTCCGTAATCAAGAATGAACAGGAGGTGATGTAGATCACTTCCCATTCATGATTGAGGATATAGTAAACATACTATGTCTCCAATTATCTACAAACAAACACTCAGCAATCACTGATTGCTGAGTGTATGTACCTCGCTCTCCTTCCTGACCCGCTGGGACACAGCGCCCAGTGGGGAGGAGAGAAAGCAGGGATGCACCGCTGTATCGGGTGAAAGTGCAATTTTTCTGCATTTTCCCAAAAGTAACATTTGCAGCCAATATGTTTTGATGGCCGATATATCGGTGCATCCCTACTTATGAGCATCGATGGAGGAATCTCCTGCTGTCTTCATTGTATTCGGATGGCAACCAGCCGCTGACCGAATATCCAAACAGGCTACATTCATTAAAGGAATTACCAACTGGCTCCTTCGATCAGCTGATTAACCGATGCCAGCCGAAAGGGTGCAAACAGTGGCACAAATTTTGTCTGGATAATCAAGAATTGGCTGAAGTTCACATAGAGTATGGCCAGCTTAAGTAATATTCCTGTGCTACTATGCCTAGGTAGCTAGTTTCCACTTTGAAAAAAAAGCCCCAATGGCCAAACAGCATCAACTCCCACAATAATAAGCTTTCATCTAGTAATGCAATTTGCTGCAATGCCTTGTACAACAAAAAACGGGTAACTAGTTTTTGGGTTAAGTTTGTAATGGGATTATAGCAGAATAATCTAAAAACAAAAAAGTTACCTGAAGAAAGGTCTGCAGCTTTACTGTCCTTTCTAAGTCTTTGCAAGTGCTCAGAAGCGATGGCATTACCTGCACCGGTTTCTTCAGTCTGGGCATGCTTGTTGCTGCTCTCTTTAGGTTCAGCAATGCTGAAGGCACTGGCACTTTGGAGATCTGCACAAAATGACACAAATGGGATATATTATTGCACAATGGTTTCAGCACATGACTAGCCTCATAAAAAGTAAAGGAGTGACTGAGAATGGGTTACAGTCAAATTCAACTTTTATTATATACACATCCGTCTTAAAAAGGTCAGTTCCCAAAAACGTATATTTCATTTTTTTGGAAGAAGCTGAAAGCGGAGAGTTAAACCACCTGACAATTTCTTTTATATCACAGATAGTGTGACCTCTGCACACCTTCTGTGGCCATTAGAGTGTCTCTCTCTCCCGGTTTCATTTCTGTTCTGCAGAAAGCAGCTGGAGTAGCAGGAACATGTACAAGTCAGTGGAAAACACCCAATACTCCCAAGTGGGCAGGATCAGAATAAGGAATTCTAGCAGGAAGGTCTCACTGTAACCAAAACACATAAGAATCCAAAGTCTTACTCATTCCATAATGGCATGACCTAAAATACCATTGACCCTTTAAAAAAACCACAGGTCAATGAACAAGGTAGAGATTTTAACAAACAAAAATTACCAAGATTCTTCAATCCTCTGTTTTTCTGATGAGAAATTTTTCTTTTCTTATTTTTGGTTTTTGGTGTTTTGTCTTTTGAAGCCAGGCTGGCTTGGGCTGATGCTTTTCGAGATTTGAACGTTTTAGTAACCGTTGTTGGATCCCCAGGATCAGGCATGCTGCTTAAACTGTCCATGGATTCGTCATCAAAGTGTTTCGCTCGGTGTGCTGCTTCTGAATACTTGAAAGAGCATCCTGATGCTGAATGAGCAACATCCATACTGGAGGCTTTCTTCCCTTCATCCTTACTTTGGCTGTCCGATGGGATGTCCTTATTACGCTCCCCCTCAGCTAGTTTAGGAGTGGTGCTAGAAGTTAAACATCAGTGGCAGTATAAGATCATCTTTAAATCTCAAAAGACATGCAAAGTTTTTTTGGGCTAACAAAGGCCTCAGCAGAAATCCGCTGATGTCTGATCTTAGGCAGCACTTATAACATAAGAGGCTGACAGGTTTGCTTCAATTTCAAATTCATGTTATCCTTAAATATTTTAAAATACTAAAAAGATCTCTCCACCACCCCCAGCCACCAAAATCCTTTCAGAAAAACTGAAATATGTAGTTTAGTGATCTGAAAGAAAACTAGACATTTCTGCATGTGCGTTTACACGCGGTTTTATTGCGTTGCAGTCCGTTTTTTAGGCTATTTTTCCCCTTCACTATAAAAATCCAAGAGGAGCACAATTAGAATAACACTTCACTAGCGTTTACAAGCGTTCCAGTGCAAAAAATGCATTGTACTTTTATGTTTTTTAAAGCACTGGACATGAACGCAGTGGTCTGAAATAGCGTAATTAGAGACTGTTGATTTAACTGTGCAAGCTTTCATTAATGCTTTGGGAGAAAAAACACACATGCCCTGAAACTTATAATCTAAACTGAAAGGCATCTTCAGCAGAATTCAGCGGTGATCCTCCCTTTCAGCAGGGCTTCTACAACTATTTTAACCAGTTGACATCCGCGGTGTTAAACCCCCTTCCCATCCAGGCCATTTTTCAGTATTCAGCGCTGCGGTACTTTGACTGACATTTATTCCGTCATGCAACGCTGTACTGAAATTAATGTTATATCATTTTTTGGGGACAGATAGAGCTTTCTTTTGGTGGTATTTATTCACCACTGGGGGTTTTTATTTTTTACTATATTAAGGAAAAATTACCGAAATTAAAAAAAAAAAACTAAAAAAAAAAACTGTTTCCCCTATATTAAAATGATAAAACATTTATTATTGCCCAGCGATATGCAACGTGTGTAGCGCAATTGTCGTTTTTGCGCGCTGGGGCACTGGATGCGTATTTACGTTTATATCTGCGTAAACGTGGGGGGTTGGGGGAGTTAACTATTATTTTTATTATTTATTATTAGAGGAAAAACACCAAAATGACTCAGTCATATTGGTGTCACCGCCTCCACTGGTGGCATCCGGGTGCGGGCTGCACCCCCTTGTGACGCCACTGAATGCTGGAACTTGTAGTAATGATGCCATTGGGGGCACTAGGACTTGATGAAGCTTACAAGCTCACAGGGACAGACACACACACACACATACACAAACACTGTGACAAGACACACGCACACATTCAATGACACACTGACAAACACAGTGACACACACACACATACAATGACACACTTACAAACACAGTGACACACACATACAATGACACACTGCCAAACACAGTGACACACACAATGACACACATACATACAATGACACATACATACATACTAGTACCTGCAGCTCGGGACCAGGAGGCAGTGAGGAGAGAATGGCTCCTCCCACAGTGCAGAGTGTGACCCAGAGGAGGTAGTGTGAGGCTCCAGAGAAGGCACATGGCGGGGGACAGCTGGAGACACAGTGTGGGATGAGCGGCACTGATGTCAGCACAGGGGGCGGAGCTGAGATCATTACAGCAAAAGCCCGGTCCACTCAAATACATGATTACCGCCGGGTCTGCCTGTTTCAATATTGTGCTCCTCCCGGCCAGCCCGCTTATCGCTACCCGGCGGCCCCCCGTTGTTATGCCACTGACTCCCGGCGACCCCTGGCAAATTGTCATTCGACCCCCGAGGGGGTCCCGACCCACAGGTTGAGAACCGCTGATATAGGGGGGGATGTGCGGCCGAAAAAACTAGCACCTATATAGGATCGGCAGGCTATAGAGCCGCCGATCGTCTATATGTGAAACACCCGGCAACGGGTGTTTGCATTAGTCGGTTCTTTTCTGCCCGTGCGCGCCCGCCAATGCTGCAGTGCCGTCCGTCCGTTTTTTTACAACGGCCGGACGGCAACTGGTTAAAGAGCAAGGTAAAAGCACGGGTAATATTTGTCAGGTTCACTTAACACCCTCCCATATAACAATAAAAAATTGTAGCATGAAGCTATCTGACAACAACCAGCACCTTGCAATCATCATACAAAATTTTTCGTATGACGGCCCTATCATGTACAGACCATCGAATAGTTTAATTAGCGGTCGTTAGTGAAATCACCTACACGAATTTCATTAATTGACGGAACGGATTTTCGTTTGCGCATCAGCAGCGTTAATGGTGCGATTTTTGACGTACGAAAACCCCACCAACCTAGCAAATTTCGTACGATTCAACGGTTTTCTTGCCTGCTGGAAAGTCAAAAGTCGTACGATTGTACAGTTTTTGCGGTTGTACACTGCCCATCAACCTTGCAAATATCATACGAATACGCGATCGCAAACGAAAATCAGACGATATTCGTAAGGTGTATGGGCACCTTAACTCTGAAATGTAATTTATGATTGTAAAAATAAATTCATTTATAGGACAGAAATGCACAGGCAATTTTCTGAAGTCTGAAAGAATCTTATAAATGGCTGCATGTAGCCTATTCAATGAGGCTTTTAGAAAACTGGCACTAATGTTAGTCATTTTTAAAAATGGTTTATGACATTTTTTCTTTTCTTTACAGTTGACCAAAACAAAGGAAACAAGACGCTGAAGAACACGAGACACACATACAGATATCCTCATTTGTATGCATTGTTCAACCCATGACAGGTAAAGAAACTTTATAGGAAGAAAATAAAATCTAAAACACAGGCTGTTGTGGCTGCACCTACTTTCTCCATTCTCCCCTGTGGCCTACAGACATCAATCACCTCATGCTTATAGGGTACACATGATCCCCAGTACTTCAAGCACTCAGTGCCTAGTTACAAAGCCCAGACCCCGTCACAATGCATATGCTGAAACCAGTGCAAATACTTGCAAATTTGTATTAGCATAGGGTTTTCAACCCAGGAGGTGAGTGCAGTCAGCTTATGGTACCTACTGCAAGGTTTACCAAATAGATGGATTTTTTTTTTTTTTTACAAAGGTTCTTAAAATTGGATTAAATGGCAAATTATACAATGCCTAGAAGTTGAAACATTTTGGACAAATGTGCTACTTTTAGCTTGAGTACCTCTGTCTGTCCGCTGCACTTGATGAATTACTTTCAAATGGCTTTGGAAAAGCCATGTACTCTGTCTTCCCTGAAGTGTTCGGATCATGAGACTGAAGAGGCACATCAGTATGAGAGGTGGAGGTCCGAGCCAAGTCTCCAATTCCAGGTGGAAAAACTGGATTAAAGTTCACACCTGTATCAGAATGAACAGGCAAGCTTCAGAGAAAAGCATGGAGAGACACAACTGAAAGTTGATGATACAAAAATAAACAAAAATTGGGGAAAAGGTATACAAATTGGTGCAGACAGAATATGCAGCAGTTCCCCATAGTAGCCAATCAGCTTCACCTTTTAGTTAGTTCAGCTAAAAGTGGCATGCTCTTAGCAACCTGTGATGCTCTGGCTGGCAACTGGTTGCCAGGAGCTGAGCAGGCCAGTCTGGCTGGGGGCCCGGCCAGCTACTGGCAACCAGTGACGTCAGTGAGCTGGGCGGGATAGCGGCCAGAACTGATGGTGTGCCACCCACCCCCGAACAGGACCACCAAGAGCCAACCCCCCGAACATGAGCACCAGCAACCTGCCTCCTCACTAGGTGGCGATTAAGCTAAGGACACCATTGTGTAGCTCACACAGCCCCAAAAATGCAAAGATCCACCTCCATGTTACAAGTGGGGATGGCGAGCATTTCTTTAAAGGCCATCTTGACCCCACTCTAAACACAGTGTTCATATTTGTAACCATAAATTTCAATTCTGGTCACCCCAATACGAATCATTTTTGCAGAAGTGTTGAGGCCCCTCTAGAAGCTGTTTTGCATATTATAAGCTGGCTGTTGTGTGGCCCTGGTGCAGCAAAACTAACATTTTACTAATACTGTACAAATAGGAGCAGAAATGTAGGGTCACTTTATCCTGGGGAGGACTTTTACATCCTAAATATTTATCCAAGGTCCATATTTATCCTGGTTCTAAAAAGTTTAATAACTCATAACTTGGTTACCTTGCATTATACATATTCTAATAAAATGCTCTGGAAAATAAAAGTATAAAAAAACCTGAATGTGATAAAAAGATAATGCTGACAATTCTCTGTTTGCATATTCCAATGCATTGCAACATTTTGTCTACTACAAAACAACAGGACCAAATTACCCAAGAACTCAATTACCCTTTAAAAACACTACAGATAACCATTAAAGCTTATGTACCTGGCATCATATTAGGGAAGTTCCCAAAAGGAGGCATGCTGAACACATTCATAGGTGGGGGGATGCAGCCAAACTGATCAAACACATTAGGAGGTGCTGCACCGCTCTCTTGAGGCGTCCTTTGCTGGCTGTTTTGCTGCATGGGCTCCTGCTGCTGCTGGCGCATTACATCACTTAGCATCTGCTTAAGCCTAGAAAGATAAATGGCCATTTTATACATAGCACACTAATCGCAAACAAAAAATTAAAAAGCATAATTTTGGTGAAAGCTGATCAGGACACCATAGTGTGCACAAAACTAGGACAAGCCAAACAGTGTGACATCTCTGCACTATGAGCAAAAAATATTGCTATTTGCAAAGAAAAGGTTAGTCATTTCATGGCATTTAAAAATCATATTTCAGAAAAATGACACAGTTTAGAATTTCCAAAGGCTTCCCCTCTCTCGTCTGTACTATAATATTCATGGTTGTAGCTAGGGATGTCCCAATACCACTTTTTTAAGACCAAGTACAAATACTTTCCCTCAGGTACTTGCCGATACCAATTACCGATACTTCTTTCTTAAAAGGGACATGTGACATTTTTTTCATTTTTTCTTAAACAGCACAGACGGGTGATTTTAGGGCAGTTTCTTTATAATTATCAGCAATGTAGAATGGCAACCAGCAATAGAAGACTACAGGTCCCATCAATCCATAATTTTACAGCAATTATACAGGGCTGTGTGCGGTTTTACCAGGAACCGAACATGGTCTCTATCAGGCAAACACACTGACAACAATACACCAATGTGAGACAATTATATACAGTGGCAAACCATCAAATAAGTGTGTAAAAAAAGCCAGATCATTCTCTTGATTTACTTGAATAACCATGAAAGGTTTCACTTCTAGAAACAGATTTACTGTCTGGCAAAATCAGCTTTTTGTGAATAAGGATTTAGCACTTTCATGGTTTCATGAATAAGTACATTTTGCAACTTATGTTTACATCTCTTTCCCATCAGCCATAAGGGACCTTAGAGTCTGAGTTTTCTGTATGTCTTATTCATATATTTATACAAAGCTATTAAATCCCCCTTAAGTACCTCTGTTCCAGTGTAAATACATCTCTCCCAAACTATCTTTCCAGCAGAGTTCCTCTGATCTTTATATTAATTTAGTTTTCCTGCTCTGCACCATATCTAGGGGATCTTTTTGTGACTTGGTGTCCAAATCAAATACTCAAGATGAGGTATTAAGCTAAAAATACATGTTACAATCCAACTGTAAATTCTCCTTTAGTTCGATCAACAACTATGTAGTGCAAGGGCCTGCCTAACTGGACACAGATTGATTGGATAGCTTAAATAGGTCCTCATATACCAGTTTTGGTAAATATAAAGTCAATTGTACAAAGTATGTACAGTTAAAGTGTCACATGTATGTGATCTTAAAGAAGTATTTAACTCTCAATCTTTTTTCAATTATGAATGGCAATCAAACAAATATACATTGCCCAGCAAAACTTTGCTTAAAATTCCTGCCCAAGCACTTTGTCATCATGTTTCAGAAGAAATGGCTCCAAATCTCTCAATTCTGCTTTCACAGAGACAGAGTAGTTTCCATCAGCTGTCCATCCACTAGCATGGGGAAGAGGAGAAGGGAAATGCCTTGCCTTGTTAGGTTTGTGGAGACACACACAGTTTACTAGCACACACAAGGGTGACTCCATAGAAACTTTGCAAGGCAAAGGAGCCACCCTAAAATAGGAGATCAGTGGCAGTGCTCAGGGCACCAGCGGATTCCGCAGGAAGGTAAAACCTTATGTATCAATGTGTTCTTACTAAGACCTGCAGCTTCTTCTGATCAACATCCAATGTGCATCAGACTTACTCTGAACATTTAAATTTGGTTGGTGGCTGAAAGGAAATGCCCAAGTGGAGAAAAACTGTATGTATGAGGGTAAGACCTAGGTCCTTAAATTGATCCTTAACTCTGATTCCATCTCTATGCTTCTCAAATCAATCCTCAGAAATCGGTGTAAAGTATACACCATCATATATCTCTCCCACACCAACACCTCACGCGTTTCACCACTTGGGCTTAATCATGACCTGTATGATTAAGCCGAGGTGGTAAAACACGCAGGAGGGGTTGGTGTGGGAGAGATCTATGATGGTGTATACTTTACACATTGAACATTGGATTTGATTTTTGACTTCTTACAATAAATCTTGGATTTTATCCATGTCTGTTTTCTGCGGCCGATTTCTGAGGATTGGTTTGAGAAGAGCATACTATGGCCTGCACCCTAGGCTGGTATTGATTGCAGCCAGAGATGGAATCAGAGTCTACAGAGCGTTTGGAAAACTAGGTCCTTAACTGGTTAGATATTATTGAATAACATCAGGAGAACTACACTTTACTGCTTACACCCTATTTTGAGATATAACCCAGGTACTGAATAACCTAAAATAAAGATGATATTAATACATTTGTGGGAAAACTTTATAGCTGAATCTCAAACATTAAAAAGGAAAGAATACGAATAAAGTTGGTCCATACCTGAGAACATTGTTCTGTTGCCAGTTAAGCTGTGTAAAACATTGGTTCAGCTGTTGCATGATAACGGGGACTTGTGACGTTCCCAAGTTACTGGGCATCAAGTTGTATGGGTTTGTAAACATGCTTTGGAGGAAGTAGTGAAGAGACTAAAAAAAAAACAAAAACAAACAGTAAATACCAGTTTGGACCATGCCCAAAAACTTCCAACAATCTTACACATCTAAAAATCAAAAAACAGAATTTTTAAGGTGCATTCTAAAAAAAATATTTTCCCCGTTCAGGAATTTATTGTTTAAAAAAACAAAACAAATAACTTACCACCGTAAGTGCCAGCATAGTAAGAAATTACTTATAGAAGGCTGACAGGACACATCTGGATAATGATCCATTATACCACCAAAAGAGGATATATTCTAACTGCATATATTATGTGTGCCTCACACATAATATATGCAGTTAGAAGATCATAAGTGGCTAAAAATGACAGCGCAGACACTAGGGATGTCCCGATACCGATGCTAGCATCGGAATCGGGCCCGATACAGGGCATTTTGACAAGAACTTGTACTTGTCAAAATGCCCCGAAGCCTAGCGCCGAAGCTTGCGCTATGTTTTTTTTTCTTTTCTTACCTCGCCGAGCGTCACTGCTGCTCCGGTGGGCGGCGCTCCGAGCGGGGTCATCTGGCAGTCTCCGGGTCCTAATTTAGGTGGCCGGAGACTGCCAGATGACCCCGCTCGGAGCGCCGCCCACCGGAGCAGCAGTGACGCAACGCTCGGCGAGGTAAGTAAGAAAAAAAAAACACGCAGCGGCCAGTCAGGAGCAGGGATGAGTCAGCAGCGAGCTGGTCAGGCGAGAGGAGCACCAGGTGGGGTTCTAATTTAGCGGGCAGGACCTAGCAGACACCTTGGGATCAATGCCAGATCCAACTTTACCAGCCCCTAAGGGACAGCTAACAGGTCATGGCCAGTGAGAACAGGTCTATAGATGTCAACAAGTTAACGGAAACCCATTACGTCACCCATGTTCTTGAGGAAAGAACAGATATGGACAGATAATGATGCCGGAGCACTCTTCTTTGAAACTCCTAGGTTGGTAGATTTGATGATTAATCATGTCTTGCAAAGAGAACTAGGCCAAAGATCCAGGTTTAACCATTCAGCAGCGTAATACACAATACTATTTATACAGCAGCAAAAATGAGAACAAAAAGATGCTGCTGTGGATTCAACAAAAAGAGACCTGGGAGTATATGAATGGAGGAGATCTTTTTAGTGCACGGTCTTCTAGGGGGGAGTACTTATTTGCAAGCATGTTCTGTGGACTCCATATGCTATTTGCAACTCCTATCATACTGTAGTAAAAAGAAGGCCACAGCTGCCTATCACTTTGTATGGCTTCAACCCTCCAATCCTACACTGGGAGAGCTTCCCAGCCACAGACAGATTGGTGCCTCAGAACATAGGCATTGGATGATGTTCTGGATCAAATGCAGTGTGAGCACAGGCTTCCAAACTCCCAGGACAGTGCAACACTATGCATACATTATGTCTATTGGTTACCACATGCTTTTCCTTTTACAGGAATTCCACAGTAATGCAATAGATACACATGCAGCCATGGCCAAAAATATTGGCACCCCTGCATTTCTGTCAGATAATGCACCACTTCATGCACAAAATTGCTGCAAATGTTTAGGCATTCTCATGTTTCTTTTTTTGTGTCATACCATTACAAACAAAAGTGGAGAGAAAAAAAAAAAAAAGTCAAATCTGACACATTCCATGCAAAAAAAAAAAAATCAAAAAATTGACTGAACAAAATGATTGGCACCCACAATTAATATTTGGTAGCACAGCCCTTGGAAACAATAACTGAAATCAATCACTTCCTGTAACCATCAATGAGCTTCTTACACCTCTCTACAGGAATTATGGACCACTCCTCTTTCGCCAAGTGCTCCCGATCTCCGATATTGGAAGGGATCCTTTACCCAACTGCTGTTTTGAGATTGCTCTATGGAATGTGGATCGGGACTCATTGCTGGCCAGTCCAGCACTCTCCAGCGCATTGTCTGAAACCATTTATGGGTGCTTTGGGTCACTGTCCTGCTGTAAGACCCATGACCTCTGACAGAGACCCAACTTTCTGACACTGACCCTACATTGCACCCCAGAAGTCTTTGGTAGTCTTCAGATTTTATAATGCCATGCACACAGTCAAGACATCCAGTGCCTGAAGCATTAAAGCAACCACAAAACATCAGTGAACCTCCACCATGTTTGACTGTAGGGACTGTATTTTTTCTTTAAAGGCCTCATTTCTTTTTCTGAAAACAGTAGAATGATGGGCTTCACCAAAAAGCTGTAATTTTGTTTTGTCTGTCCATAGCATATTCTCCCAAAAGGATTTTGGCTTCCTCAGGTAAGTTTTGGCAAATTCCAATCTGGCTTTTTTATGTTTCTGTGTCAGCAGTGGGGTCCTCCTGTGTTTCCTACCATAGCATCCCTTTTCATTCCGATGGCGATGTATAGTGTGAGCCGACACAGTTGTACCCTGTGCCTGAAGGTCAGCTTGAATTTGTCTGGAAGCTGATCGAGGGTCTTTATCCACCATTCGAACAATCCTTCCTTGCAATCTTTGATGCATTGTTCTATTTCATCCACGTCTAGTGAGATTTGCCACATTGCCATGGACTGTAAACTTCTTGACAATGTTGCGCACAGTGGACATAGGAACATTAAGATCTCTGGAGATGGACCTGTAACCTTGAGAATGTCCATGCTTTTCCACAAAAACTTGGAATGCAATTATTTCTTGCAATTTGGAGAAAGTGCCAGCAATTTTGTCCAGTCCATTCTTTGAGTTTTGCGTGGAATGTGTCAGATTTGGCTTTTTTTTCCTCCACTTTGTGTCATACCAATACAAACAAAATAAACAAACATGAGAATGCCTAAACATTTGTAATTGCAACAATTTTCTGCACGAAGTGGTGCATTATCTGACAGAAATGCAGGGGTGCAAATATTTTTGGCCATGACTATGTTCCTGCCACAATTTGAAACAATAGTCGTTTGGTAGCCAGATCCACTACCAGCCTCTAGCCATTTTTATTGTTAGTTTTAGTTTAATTTCTGAAGGAAGAAATATTAAATCTGAGTGAACAGGACTTAACATAGGTCATCAGAGAACTTACCTGTTGATCCCTCATTAACGTCTGGCACATATTTGTGCTGAACTCAAGCTGTCTCTTAATCTGGTCTATTTGCTCCTGCCAAACTTGTTTTTCTTCCACTTGGGAAAGCTCAGACACCCATCGTAGGTTTTCTTGCCTCCGCATGCTAATATTCTGCTGCTGCTGTTTTGTACTGGGTGAGGGCCTGTAATTACCATCAACTGCATATGGATGCTGACTATTCCAACTATGAACAAGAATAATGTAAAACAATTCATATTTACAAATCATGTCATACATGTAAATTATTTAGACAACTCAAAAAAATCTTAAATAAATTTGCTAGAAAACTCAGATGTCAAAAAGCACACTAATTCGGAAAAATGCAGCACATGGGTCATGAAAATATTGGTGGCTGGGGAGGAATTTTGTGGCTTGTGCACACTCGGGCAGACTGCAGGATTCATTGGGAAGAGCTGCTAAGTATAAAGACAGTCTGCCTAACAGGTCAAGTACATGGATTGGTGAAAAATGTGCATGTGCCTAATCGCCTCTGTTTCATAAATCCACTGTGATCCCCCTGACAGGTAGGAAGTCACAAGGACAGGTACACAGGGAGTATTCAAGCATGAGACATGTTCTTCATAAAGGAAGAGGATCAATCAGCTTTAAAATAAATTAGAAGTACCCCTCACTGCAAAGGTTAAGTTCTCGTTTGTGTCTAGCGAGAAAAATAAAAAGATATACTCACCCGAAGCTCCGAGATGGCGAGCTACCTCCAGCCTGTCTCCTCCACAGTACCATTGGCAGCAGCAGCATACACTGTGTATAGACGTGAGGATGTTGAGGATTTACAGGACCTAAGACTGCTGCAGAGGAGGGGGAGAGACGTTGGAAGGACTGGTCTAAGAAGAAGCTGGCTCAGAGCATCGGAAGAGTAACTTTTTTTTTTTTTTAACCTAGACACAAACGAGGACTTAACCTTTGCAGTGCAGGGGCAGCACCACTGCAAGGGTTAGTAAAACAAATCCTGGAGTTCATTTAATTGGGCACAGCAAAAGAAATCTGAGTGTACCCCTGTTTACTGTTCTTTCCAGTGCAGGCACTCTGATTTATACTGTTCTGAGGATAAGTGATATTTTCACGGAATGTCTCCTCATGCTCTTCCTCATCCTCATCCTCATCTTCCACCTGATTTACATCTGAAATGCAGCCATCATCTTCATCATCCTCATCAAGGGCACACTGGGTGGATCCTCCCCAAGTGGCCATAGTTCTAACAAAAAAAAAAAAATTTAAATACAGGTAATACTGGTAAACCTGACAATGTTTTGTGGTAAACTAGAATACTAGTATGTACTGGCAACTCATTAGTGAGTATGAGATTATTTAAAGGAGAACTATGGGGTTAAGGCTTTTCCCCATAGTTCTCCTTAGGGTAATGGGAGGACACAAACTAGCGTCCTCCCGTCACCCAAAGCTCAGTATACCGCGAGCTGCTGCTCACGGTATACTGAGACGCCACAGCAGAAGCGGATCCCGACAATTGTGCCGGGATCCACCCAGCTGCGTGACTGACAGCTGGCTCTGCCTATCTAGAGGCAGAGCCAGCTGTACCCGCCCCTTCCCCGTCCGTTCAGCCAGTCAGCGCTGGCGGATCGGAGCGGGGAGAATTCAGCCCCTCCCCTGTCACGGCAGAGAGCCGTGACAGGATCGAGAGGTGAGAGAACGCCGGTATGTGTTCGCTCACCTCCCGATCTACTGAGCCGACCTGTGACAGTCTCATTGTCACAGGTCGGCTAGAACTATGAGGTGAGTGAGAAGCACTCACCTCATAGTTCTCCTTTAAATGTAAAAATATATATTCTAATAGTTTTTTTTTTGTTTCAGCCACCTGATTAAAATAGAACATGGTGACTTCTGGAGTCCAGCCACATCCCTCAGCTGGCTCCCAAAAACATCACTTGCTTGATGTTAAAATTGCCAAGAAGATTGTATTTGCCTATTAAATCTACTATTTTTAGATTATTTCACAGGATACTAATCTATATGTAAGCTTACAAAACAGTTTAAATAGATCTAAAAGGAAGTGTTACCGAAATTAAAAAACTGCACAAATACAAAAGCCTCCAAGTACCAGTGTTATAATTGAGATCTATGTGTTCAGGGAGCCCATGCATGCCCAGCACACACTGTACACAGAGCTTCTGCCCAAGTTGATACTAAAGCTGGCCATGCACTCTGCAAAAATCATTCGATTTCTTTCATCCCGTCATTGAACCCCCCTTCGATTTCCACTCGAATACCCCATCATGTATAGTCCAATATCAATTTCGAAAATCATTTGTTAGCAATACTAACTCACCGAATTTTGTCGGACAGAACGCATTTTCTATTTTTGCATGTGCAGCGTTTTTTTTCGTACGAAAATGCCACTAATCCATCGATTTTCGTTGGATTCGAAAAAAAGCTTTCAAGCCTGACCGATCGAGGAAATTCAGCCAGCAGTACAGTAATTAAAATCGTTGGGTCCCCATTAACTGATCGATTATAGTTCGAAACCAAGTTCATGTTCCATTTTCAGACGATAATCGCAGAGTGTTTGGGCACCTTTAAAACCAACTCTTCCACTCAGCACACAAATGCCAGAGTCTCAATTGGGCATCAACATAACAGGAACCTGGCTGTTAGCTGTCTTGTTAAGTTTACACACTTTAGGACCTAACAGGTTCAATTTCCACTGACTTACTTTTCAGTTCTGCTTTGGTGATGAAGGCCTTGTGCTTCAGAGTCATCACTTCTTATAGAGCCAGCAGAGGTGGTTTCTGTGACTCCTTGCCTCCGCTGATGTTCAGCCATCAAAGACTCCAGCTGTTTCCTTCTTTGTCGCAAATCTTCCCTTAAAATTTGGTGCCTGCGGATCTCTGACCACACCTATTAAAAAGGGTTTTTCAGGGAATTCATTCAAATCCTCGGCCAAAATAAAGGATCGATAGATAGATTTTTACCAAGGGGCCACGCATAATATTGAGTGACTTTAATGCTACAAACTACGGTCAGAGAACATAGGCACGCTAAAAGGAATAATCAGAGATTATGAACACGCTATAGAAGTTGTTGGAGACTGAGGACTAGTAATGTGCATGGGCTTAGGGCAAACTCAGTTTGGAGGAGCTCACCCAAGCCCACACGAAGCCGATAGTGACAATCACCCCCATCCATCTCCCCCTCCCCCGTAAGATTGGAGGCACATTACATAAAACTGCTAAAGATCCCTGCTATTTGCAGCTCCTTTACAAATAAATACTTCCACATATGTAATCCTTACAGCCCTCCTACAAATTACTTGGGGCACATTTGATATTCCTGTTACAAGATCCATTATAACAGATCTGAAGGGGGGAAAAAACACAAGAGACAAAAAGGTGAGCAAAAAAAAAAATTAAGTGTGAAAAATAATAAAACAAACGGAGCCAAATGGCTCCGAAAATATAGTCTAAGGGCCTTCACTGAGTAAACACCTAAGTAAGGAAAACACAGACCACTGTCTGCTGAAAAGGTTGGGCACCAGGGAGAGATAGATATAATCTGGAATTTAGATTTCACAAAATGGCATTACAAAAATAAAATATGTATCTAAAAGAGAAAAGCTTTAGAAATGTGTGTACCTCATTATCCACTGAAGAAGAGTCTTCAGGGTCTGGCATGCTTGGAATGGCTGCAGCATTGCTCACATTAACATCTGGAGTTGAGGAGACAGTTGGTAAATTCCTGGTTGTAGGACCAGATTTAAAACTAGAGGATGACGACAACTAATTGAAAGAAGAGAAAAAAAAAAATCTGAATTAGAACACAATCTCTTCTTCATTCACTAAACCTACACTTAGCATAGAAAACAGATGCAGCAGCCCAATAAGGGGGTAAACATGAACCACTGTTTGCCTCAACTAAAGAAAATCTGGTCTGTTCTTCAGTGTAACTCTTAAATGATTGATCTGCAATTGTTCTAGAACAGCCTAATATAATAAACCACATGGTAAGCTTTTACTTGCTTACTTCAAGCCTTGACAGACAGACATCCCTATCAACTAAAATACATTTTCTATTTCAGAAGAATTAATTTCCCAACATTTACAAATCAATGCAAGTCTAATAATGTTGCCTCTCCGGTCTCTTTTCATTAAAGATGTCGGCAATCTTTTCTATGAGTGATTTTATGATTTATACAGGGAAATAGAAATGGTAGAAATAGAAAAAGCTTGTATATTAAATAGCCGTTCCATTCATTATAATAAAAAAACTGTATATAAACCCCAAACCCCAGCCTGCTGCTCCTGTACCTAATGCCTTGATGTCCAAAAGCTGCAGGCATGTGTGATGGTCTGCCTCAGGCTAGTTTACAGAGAATGACGGTCAGCCTGAGGCATACCCTGCCTACTTGTCTAAGGTTTACGGACTCCGACTCATGGGGCTTTGGTCCCTCCTTTTTACCAATCTTATGCAGTCTCTAGTCTGAGCCTACAGCATTGATTCACATGCAGGGCTATTTATCTGAACCCTTTAAAATGTATAAAAAGGAACAATCCAAGGGTGTCCACTCTCACTTCTTTTTGCTTTAATTATTGAGCCCTTGGCAATCCCATTAGAGAGAGTGTGGAGGTTAAAATGTGTCCATTGTTGGACAAAGGAACATAAATGTGCGCTTTTTGCTGATATATTATGATCCCTACCTTCACCTTTAAGTTCACTTCCTAATGTCCTTGGTATGTTACAGGCGGTGTCCGACATTTCAGGCCTGCAAATCAATGGTTCTATATCGGTTGCGTTATGGCAAAATCTGTCAAAACACTTCCTTTTTTTCATGGTGTGTTAATTGTTTGCCCTACTTTGGTATTAAAAACTTACACCCACTTTGTCTCAGCTATACCAAGCTAATTACCCCACACTGTTTAAACAATCGATAGCAGATTTGGACAGATGGGGGGGGGGAGATTTGAATAAGCTCCAAACCAGGATTATGTAATTTATCTTGGGGGGGAAGCAACCCAGATTGGCGAGCTCAGTCCTCTTGAAGACAAAACAAGTTGGAGATCTGGGAGTCACAAATTTGTCAAGAGGCCCAGTTAGCGGAGTTGTCCGCTGCCTACACTCAAGGGGAATCTATCGGAGTGGGTGTTCATGGAATCAATTTCAGTATCTAATATGCCCACTGACTTAACCTCTTGCCGTCCGCCCGTAGTAGAAAAACGGACGGACGGCACTGCTGCATTGGCGGGTTGCCGTCGCCAGACGGCATTTTTTTTCTGCTCGCGCGCCCCCTAGCGGGCACGCACAGGCAGAAAAGACCCGTCCAATGCGAACACCCGGTACCGGGTGTTTCACATATAGGCGATCAGCGGGTCCATAGCCCGCCGATCACCTATATGTGCTCGTTTGCGTCCGCAGCACCCCCTTCATCAGCTTCTTTTGGGGTCCACAGGTGACTTTAGGGGTCCTAGAGACCCCTAATGTCTCCATAAAGAGGACCTGTCAGTGTGCCTTTGCTATTATATAGGGGGTTGTTATCCCCCTATATAATAGCAATAACAATAAGTGCAAAAAAAAAAATATAAATAAAAAAAAAGAAAAGTAACACATAAAAAAATAAAATAAAATAAAAGCCACATATAAAAAAAGGGGGAAAAACCCCCCCAAAATGTTTAACTCCCCCACCCCCACGTTTACGCGCCTATAAACGTAAATACGCGTCCGGTGCCCCAGCGCGCAAAAATTACAATTGCGCTACACATGTTACATATCGCCGCGAACGTCGCAGTGAGAGCAATCATTTTAGGGCCATCAATCACTGATAACACTAAACTGATGAGCGGTAACAGCTTTTAAAGCGTCGCCTATGGCCAATTTTGGGTATTTTCTTTTTTTGAGGTTTTGCGCGCGCACGCAATTTTAAGGCTTGACATGTTTGGTGTCTTTTTACCCGACGTGACCCCGTCTTTTATATTTTACCAAAAAATTGGGTAATAATAAATGTTTTATCATTTAATATAGGGGAAACTGTTTTGGTTTTTTTAATTTCGGTGATTTTTCCTTAATATAGTAAAAAAATAAAACCCCCAGTGGTGAATAAATACCACCAAAAGAAAGCTCTATCTGTCCCCAAAAAAGGGTATAAAATTCATTTCAGTACAGCGCTGCATGACGGAATAAATGTCAGTCAAAGTACCGCAGCGCTGAATACTGAAAAATGGCCTGGATGGGAAGGGGGTTTAACACCCCGGATGTCAACTGGTTAATGAAATAGCTTACTCCTAAACAGCACCCATGGACTTGGAGCTCCAACATTATCTCATTCTCTGGCATTATGGGATAGATTGATTAGAATATATGCGCGCTCCTCCCATCACAACCCCGTGGCCCCATTACTTAGGAACCCTTGCTTTCCCCCGGGCACTTTTCCACAAGCTTTTAAAAGGTGGGTTCATAAAGGATTATGCAGAATCGGACAATATTGTAAGGCTCACAGACCACTGACCCTAGCTTATTGTAAGGAGAAGTTACATATGCCTTACGACAAATGTTCTCATTTACAACAAATTCGTAATTTTCTTTTCTCTCTAACCTCCACTCATACTAACTGCCCCTTTTATACTCCCTATGAAACGTGGTGTTATCAAGCTACAGGTTGAGGGAGTGGCATTTCTGTAATCTATTTTATGCTACTGGGTCCTCCCTCAAAATGACCGTCTATGTTGGAATGGGAAAAAGAACATCGGTTTTACCTTCCTGGACTTTTAGTTACATTGTTGCTCACAGATCTCTTGTGGACTACTTAATGTTTCATTAATGGAAGCTCATTTTAAAGCGTTATCATGATGGTATTTGGTCCTTGCCAGATTGGCCACTATTTTTCAAGGGTCCACATCATTATGTTTTAAGGGTTGTGGATAGCAAGGCTGTAGGCTTCATACTTGGTGGCTGTGCCCCAAATTGCACCCTATTTGGAGAAAATACAGAGTTACAGGGATTAGGGTTCCTAAAGACCCCCTTTATGTTATGCTCAACAAACTGGTTAGTGAAAATTCTAAAAGGAAAGATAAACTGATAACTTTTCTATTGTGGCTAAAATCTCTGTAGCTGGGGCCTGGAAAACCCCAATGGTATCCCTAGAACTTTTACATCCAAGGTCTCTTGGATCATGACCCATGAAAAACTGTGCAGCATTTTACAAGATAAACAGGAAAACATTCAAGCAGTTTGGCATCCCTGGCTAAGATATGTTGGTCTTTCCAGTACTCCATGCGGAGTACTGGGGAGCGGGGAACACACATGCCAGATCTATTTTCCTCTTTTCTTTTTTTCCTCCTCATGTTCTACATCTTTTTACAGTATAACCTTTAGTGACGAATTGCTGCTAAGAGGCAGCACTTTGATTACTTTTGTCAGAACTATTGAAGCTAAAAGAATTGAAAAATAAGGCCTATACATGTTCTTCTACTCATTGTAAGATGGCATCCTGAAAGCCATTTTGTACTGTCTAACAGATCTAAATGGAACTTAAGTTTATGAGTTCAGGACAAAAGCTTTTTCAGCAATTTTTCTTGGAACCTTATTCCACACGTTCCCAGCTAATAAATCGTGAGAAGTACCATCAACAAGACACAGAATAGCCATGGAGCCATATTCCCAAGCAAGTAAATCGTGAGAAGTATCATCAACAAGATAAGGACTGGCCTTGAGCTAGAATGTGTTAGAATCACACATATTGCCCAACAGTGGATAATTGAGTCTTTGATTAATTTCTTTTTATGACTAAGAAAAATAATAAGCGCGTTATAAAAGTTTCTTAGATACAATTATTATTGAAAGAATTTGTACTAGTAGTATTAGCAATAATTTCAATTGTATTATTAGTATGGCATGAAGCATTTACATTATTTAATTGAATAATGTTATATATATATTCTCATAATATTCATTATATATTGTATGGTTATACTTATTGAAACATATTGGCATATATTATCAGTTTGATGTGTTTTTAAGTACAAATAATTAGGCTATGTGGGTATAATGTTGTATCAGTGAAGGATTTTAAGTTAACCAGTGTGTCAGCAAATTGCTTCAATCTAAAGGAAAAATGTTAACATTTTAAAAGAAAAGTCCAGAATCAATTCTAGTCCAATAGTGCCCTCTTCCGGTAGTTACAGAGATCGTTTTTAGAAGAGTAACGCCCCTCTGGGATTATAATTAAAAAGGTAAAGATAAGCAAACCACGCCCACATTTTGGGTGATAAAAAGTTAGAAGAGTATACAGAGGAAATACACACGAGAAGGAGAGATCTGAAACTGATTGACGGGCTGGCCAGGGGAAATGACAGAAAGCTGACAACTCTATTTGTCTGCAGGCAATTTCTATTTATCTGCAGGCAATTGACTAGCCATATACATCTGACTAGACCATTTAATCCTTGTAGCATCGAGATATCTTTGTTTGGAAAAAGAAATTATTTGATAAAGTTAAAGTTGATAGATAAACCTACATGCAGACCGTGTAGGTCAGGGGTAGGCAACCTTGGCTCTCCAGCTGGGCTGAAACTACAAATCCCATCATGCTTTTGCCTCTGGGAGTCATGCCTGCGGCTTGCAACGCCTTATGGGATTTGTAGTTTCAGCACAGCTGGAGAGCCGAGGTTGCCTACCCCTGGTGTAGGTTGAAGGTACACTTGCTAGACTGAACATTGTATGAGTTAACATTTACAAAGCAACCCTGGGATGCCCAAATCTGAAGTAGGTTTTTTAGAATTCAAACAGGTATGCTTCAACACACAGAAACCAATATATTCGTATTCAATCAATATTACAGAAAATCTGTACTGAAAGAAATGTGTTTATGCAGAGCTCCTTCTGAAAATCCTAACAGTCTATGGGTTATTACTTTCTAAATTACTGGCCTAGGACAAGTATGCAGCAAGGAAAATCAGAGGTATTTTCATACTTGTTTTTGATCAGTGACTGATCAAGTACTGGCTCAGAAAGGAAGCCAATCTACTAGCATTGTCATTGTGGAAAAAGTAACCAACAGCAGCCTACATATATTTCTTAGTACAAAACAAAGCCTTAAGGCTTATGTTTCAGCTAATAGAGAACAGATTACTCACAAAACTTCCAACTGGGCAAAGACACAAGTCCACAAATAAAAGTCTGCTGACTTTGGCGCTAAACCAAAAATTAAAAAAATAACACTGTACATGTCAAACCCATTCTTGTGTTAACATTGCATCCCAGCAGACAAAGGGGGTTTTAATTTAGGTGGGTCTGACAATTCTAATGGCTCCCAAAGATGGATGATTAATGCTCTTTTCCCTAGCTCCCTAGAGGCATACTCTGACCATAAGCAATGACTTCAAACCAGAACAAAAAAGGTCATGTTAAAAAACCCAAAGGTCTATTGCATCCACTGAAGGAAGATAAGAAAAATGAATCAATCAGGTTTTAGACATCGTTCACTCACAGCTACTGACCTCTGGGTGCATTAAGTAATGTGTCAGTGTCCTAAATCTGTGAGAATTATTGGTTTAGTCTGTTGCAGATGGAGCTACACACAACCAAGGATAAGAAATATGCTGAAGCCACATTTGCCAGCTCGTCTTGCACACGATTCCCAATTGTGTAGACCACAGTACAGGTAAAAACAGCTCTCCACAAACCTGCTTTGCATTTCACTAACCTGTAGATCAGGACATGCCTTACGTAAAGTTTGAATTTTTTCTTGAATTTCAATAAGCTTCTTCCTTTCTTCCTGTAACTGTTTCAGCTCCTTCTGTTGCTGTTGAAGCTTGGATTCATAAAATTTCTCCCTGCAATATATCATCAATAATTAGCAAGGAGCATCAATAAAGTTGACTTTACACAGAATAGGTAAACATGAATTACCTTGCTTGCTCCTTAAGAGAAACATCCCTTTGTGTTTTAGATACATTGGGACGGGTGTTATTTGGTTGCTGTTTTGAGTTTGCCTCCTCTGGTAAGGAATGTCCTCCACTGGCAGATCTCTCAGCTGCCATGGTCTCAGATTCTGTATCACCATCATACTAAGGAAAGAAAAGATGCATCATTTTGACAGTCACCTCATATGATGGGAAATCTGGCTGGAATTACACCTGTTTATCAACATGTCTGGGTCATGTGTGAAATGTTATTCCTTACTCCTGCGCACAGGAATGTTATCTCCTACAGTGTGAAGTCAAGGTACAGCTTTCTGTAGCATTAACAACTGAGTAAAATGGAACATGGATTAGCAAAGCGCCACCCTGCTAGAGCAGATTTCACAAAAGCCAATTGATGGGGATCCAAGAAAGGCCAATCTTGCCCCATTTTGTTTTACTCCACAACTGAAGGAATGTTTCATTTTTTTCCTAATACAAAAATGCATTGATCTTTTTAAAGACCAGATCATGTTCTGCTATTTTACAGATTCAACTGCTAAAGAAACATAGTAACGATCAATGTATTAACAAAAAACGGCAATATTGCTTGAGTCAGGAATGACCGTCGTTAGACGCCATTTTTCATTAATATTTGTATTATTTGTAACATAGGAAAAACTAAGAGAAAAAAAAAAATCAAATGTTCCTACATTTCTTACAAAATTCTGAAATCTTTTTTCTACCAAGATTAGTTTTAAAGAAATGTTGTCACTTTATGAATAATTGCAGCTGCTGACAGGTATGCCCAGACATACCCAGGAGGAGCAGCTTTCACATAAAGTAAACCTTTCTTTTTTTACGGCTCTAGACGGGTTTAGAGACCCATTTACATTCGCCTGCCCATACACCTTACAACCATCGCAAGACTTTTGTCTTACGATGGTTGTAAGCTAATTAAAAGCTCGTACGATCTGCCCATCTTGGACAGGCAGATCGTACTTGCGATCATCGCAAGCCCGCCCCCCTGAGGGGCAGGCTTCAGATGACTGCAACGAGAGACGGGCTTCCGATGGCTGCAAACGGCAGTTGTCGAACAAGCACGTACGATTCTCGGCGGGTTTTCAAGCCTGCTTGTTCGACAGAAGACGTGTGACCGTACAGTAGAGACGGTCGCACGCCTTCCATACACTTTGCGATTATCGTACGATCGTGGGATTTCCCGCAATTCTCGTACGATAAATCGTACAGTGTATGGGCACCTTAACAATGAGCTTTCAATCAGATCTGCCTAAAAAAAACTGACAGATGGATCTAATTGGAACAGCTGTGCAAAAAGAGCCAAAAGGGTTTCTACTGTACAGTAAGGATAAATTGCTCCCCAGTGCCTACAGCTAGAGGTTACTGAGGGATTTTCAAGCCCAATTGAACCTCAGTTAAAATCAGCTAAATACATCCCATATGCATCAAAACAAAGGCTGTGCAACCCGAGTAGGAAATTCTGTCCCCTTCCAGCTTATTGTGGAGAAGGACCCTTATTCTGCATGGAGAAGCAGTGATCTCTTTCAGAGAGAGCATGAGCTGTGCCAATTGCATTGCTTTATATCTGCCTTAGTAGGGTGTATAATCTGACCTTTCCAATACAACCACTGCTGCCCCACCAAAAGCCAAGTTTCCACTCTGCAGCAGCTTTTCTACGCAGGCTTTGGCTGATTAAGGGCTTGTTCACACGATTTTCTGGTCCAGATCTGGAGACAGGGTGCTATGCATGCAGTGCGTTTTTGATGTGTTCCAGTTAAAAAGGAAAAAAAAAGCTGCAGTGCAGTTTCCATGCAGTTTCGACACGTTCGTGCATTTCCGGACTGGACAAAATGTGACCTGCAGTATTTTTTATGTCCGGACTGCGCTCGTGAGAACTGTAGCCCATAAAACACATAGGGATGCATTTTGGGTGCATGAGCGCACGGATCTTGTCCGGACAGAATCCGGACGTCGTGTGAACAAGCCCTTAGACAGATAAAAAAACTAAACATCTTTCGTTTTGAGGTATCCTAAATGTATTCAGCCAATTTAAACGTAGGGTTCAATTGGGCTTTAGCTACAGATGCTCTGCGGGTTGCAATCAATCAACTTACGATTTTTCGCATTTATGGAGTTTACTGTACTGTACAGCAAACTCCCAGTTATTTGCCCCCCATTGATCGGTGGGTGCCGGTTAACTTTAGTTTCTGGTTATTAATAGTAACTCTCAAGCAACTAAAGCGCTCCTCTTTCCCGCTTCCCTACTCACCTGCTGGCTCGCTTCTGCAGCCGGCAGGTGAATTTGAATTTCCATTGCCTGGTCACATATCAACTTTAAGGAAGCAACGCTTAAAAAATAAAATGCAAGTGTATTTAAACAGGGAGTGCAAAGTTGAACAATAATGTGCTTAACCCACACAGAGCATTGAAAACCTCAGTCTACTGGTATAAAAACTACCTCACTGCTAATAAACACATTTGCTTTTGTTCTATAACATGCCTACTCTTGCCCTGTACAGAGACGATATAAGACTGTGTCCTTCCCAAACATGCACCTACTTCATTAATAATCACAAATATAAACATACCATTGCAATAAGATCCTGCAGTTGTTTAAGTTTGTGTTTGGCCGATATAAGACGGCTGAATTTTTCCTCATATTCAGCAGTTTGGCCCTCTTCAGTGACACTGCTCCGGCTTGATAGAGAAACCACACTCTCCTGATCATCATTTGCATCTTCATCATCATCCAGATCAACATTGCAATGCTGTTCTTTATCTCTAGATTCTCTATTAAACAGGCATTCTACAAGGAAAAGGGAAAGCCCATCAAAGTCTCAATTCACTATGATGCATGCAGTGCTTTTGTCAGTTGGCAGTCTTTGCTTAAAATATTGTCCATTAGGGTAGAAATGGTATACAAAACCATTACACAGTCTGGGACCTGACACATTTAAAATGAGTGCATCTGCACCCAGTTCTGACTGAACAAGACAAAAGTAAAAGGGCAGATTCTACTGTATTATGAGAGTTTATTTTATTTAGAAAGCACATGGACACCATGACGTTTCTTAAAATGAATTTGTCCATGCAGACACGCTTTCTGGAGTTCCCCTTCAAAAGTACATATAATGTTCATTCAACGCAACCACTAAAATTAAGATCAAGCATTACATTAAAAAGGCAGATTGCCTTCAGTGACCTGCACAAAAAGTGATACCTGGACTAACTTCCTAACAAAACCCGATAGTAAGGTCAGTAATATCAAGTCACACAGTGAATGTCAATGCTGTCTACTGATGCATACCTAATCCAGAGGACACATTGAAGGTTCTTAAATTAACCGAAGATCTGTTGTTTATTTCACAGTCCGTATTGAGTAGCCTTTCATCCCTGTTATTATTTCCACAATGCGCATTAGAGATGCTATTCACTGGTCCCCAGCCACTCAAACGTTGTGGATTCCTGAAGCAATTGAAATAGATTGTATTACTAAACATGTAATAAAACAAACCTGCAAATGACTTTATAAATCTAAGATGAAAAAGGCAGGCATCTCTACGACTAAGTCAGAAAGGGTGAAAAGTGTTTGATGATCACCCACCTCTGACGGAATTATATTGTGCTGATGGCTGGATTTTAACAATATACATACGTTTGGTGAAGATTGGCGTTGCGTAGCTACCCTTAAAAAGGTAGAGATGCCAATGTGTAAATTCCAGGCTCAGAGCAAATAAAAAGCAAACGAAAGAAACGTCATCATGCTGTTGCTTAAAAGAGAACTATGGGGTAACCTTTTTTTATCCCATAGCTCTCTTTAGAGTCACGGGAGGGCATATACTAACCTCCTCCTGTGACCCAAAACTCAGTATATAGCGGGCTATTGCTCTCTATATACTGAGAACATCGCAGTTGGGAATGATCCCAACAATACTGTCGAGATCCACCCAGCTAGCTACACTGCAGGGAGATGATCAGGAAGTGAGCAAGCGATGGAATGTGTTCGCTCACTTCCCGATCTATTGAGCCGACCTGTGACCGTTTCAATGTCACACATCGGCTCTAACTATGAGGATGAGGAGTGTAAATCACTCACCTCATAGTTATCATTTAAAAGCAAGCCAGTCATCTCATCTGAAACATTTAGCGTCGATTTACTTCTATCCAATGTTATGCTTTACAGTAACACTCGTCCATTCTGGTGCTTTGACAGTCTTTTCTTCTGGACTGGCTGCCCAAACACAATGCAACAGAAAGGCAAAATGTGAATGGGCCTTTAAAAGCCCTGTCTGAGAACAAGCAACCGTGTCAGATATGATAAACTGCTATATCTGTTTATTGCTTTGATCCAGGGTTTATTTAGTGACTGAGGCCTTGAAAAGAAGGGTAACCCTAAAAGCTAATCAGTCTCTACAACATTAAACAGTGTACTCAATCCAACACAGAGATCTTGCTGACAGAGAGAGCAAAGTGCTGCTAATGCACTGCACAGTCACAAGCTGAAATAGGTCCTTGACCAAGCTATTCTGCTAAAATACAGTGAAAAAAATGAGGTCGGACAGGGACGGATATGTTGTCTGGATTAAAAAAAGAATTACACTTATACTTACTGCCTCACCGACATGTTCAGTTAAAATGATACATTTTAATGACTAAGTTAGAATGTAAAGGGCAAGCTCATTTCTTACTGTTAGGCATGGTTAATGTCATCCGTGTAGCCCTGCAGAGGTATTCAGGCAACTGCACACCATTGAGAGCCATATTATCACGTGGAAAGGCATGAGCAAAAAAAAAAATCAGTGTTGTGGGATTCTGATCACAAATGACAATAAAAATAAATTCACAAGACAGAAAACTTTAGCTATATATCTAACCTGATGTTTATAACTGGCTGGTTCACTTCCTGGTCAGACTCAATCCAGGAGTCTTCAGTTTCTTCTTCTTCTTCTTCTTCTTCTTCTTCTTCCTCCTCCTCCGCCTCCTCGTCATCATCATCATCTTTAGTGTTTTCATTTATAGCGTCTGTCATCATATCAGATGTTTGCTCATAATAGCGGACAAGGTCGCGGAGCTCATTAAGCCTCTTTCGAACTTCTTTCAGTTTTCTAAAAGAGACAAAAATAGCCACAGGGCTTTTTCAAATCACAATTTCAGCATTTCTTTTCACTTAGATGTGCATTAGCATATAATGCTCAGAGGGTTTCTTCAAAGAAATGTCATTATACCAGTCGATTGCATTCACAACATAATGGCAAAAGATAATAGCTGTAAGTGAATTGGGTAGGTTAATGTGTATCAAAAATGTCCACACTGTATTAGAGCACAAGGTCTTTTTGAAACACGATTGTGAGCATGCCGCAATAATGCATACCAACCACCTGGAACACTTAAAGTAATGGGTAACCACTGCTTCACTTCAAGCTTTTGAAAAGACTACAATGTGAGTGTTTACATACTCCGACATGAAAATATGATAAAAGGCTACCTCCAGCAAGGTCAAAAAAGGATCTATGTGTGGTACTCATTTACATTTCACAATAAAACTAAAAAATTCATGACAGATCTATATAGGATAAAATGGAAACAGTACATTCTGTGCCTCAAATGCATAACACGATGCACCCAATTAATGGACATCAGGAAGTAAAATGTCTCCACTGAGGTGGGGGGGATTAACCCTATTTATCCTCGTGACGATAGAAGGTGAGGGAAAATCTAAAATTCTGAGTTGCCACCAGAGCAGGAATAGAGGGGAACTCTTCCGATAAGGACACTTGTTCAGGTGACAACTAAGAGGGGATTTCTCCCACTTTGGAAAGATTTAGTTCCACTTCCAACAAGACAGGAAGTGAATAAAAGTCTTTACAGATGAAAAAAACAATCCTGGGGTCATAACTCTTCCCTACCTGGGAACTGAACCACTTCCCTCTGCAAAACTGATAAAATAAACTGTTTGGGTTTTAAATATATATTTTAAAATGAATACATAAAATTACATAGTGTACATTGAAGTGGTCATCATTGCCAACTAATTTACTTACTATTCAATCATAATATGCATGCCTGCATGGAAAGGGTTGTTTTAAATATTTAAGTGCAATGCCTTTTAGTATACAATACACAAAGCATTCAAAACCTTTGATATTTAATGACATACTTTGCAAATAAGAAATAGAGACTTACTTCAGCTTTTCTGCTGGATTTTGATTTTCTTCATCTTCACTATCATTCATAGAGTTAGAAGAGGGGAAAGCAGCTGCTGCAGGGCTGTTGGCTGCCCTATTGTCAGTGGCCTGTGGAGCAGAAGCAGCTGAACTTGTGCTCCTTTGATCCACACCCCTTTGAGGGGAACCTGTAAAAACGGCAATGAAGCGGAGCTTTAATAAATGCAGAAAAACAAAACTGCAGCACAGCATACAGCCTAAATTAAATGTGATACAGGTAACAGGAAAAGAATGGGTGTATTCTATTCCAAGGTCAGAAATATTAAATATAAAAAAGGAAAAATTAAACTAAACCTGGACTTTAAATGGTCTACTACTATATAGTTTCTAATACATGAGGGAAAACAACAATTGCAGAACAGCAGAGAGCTAGTTAAAGACAATTCTTAGAAACATTAGTCTAGAATAGAGATGTAAAATGTATGGAAATTTTGAAGCTATGAGAAAAAAAACAATATTTCTCTCCCGTTCATTGAAGGACACAGGGAACAGATCGGAAATCATGTACTGTAGGGTAATATCGCCACCTGCAGGAGAAGGACGCTAGGCACAAAACTAAAGACCAATTACAGCCTAGGGGCGGCCCCTGCCGGTGGCCAAACCCCCCACCTGCTGACAAGTCTCCAGTTTTTTGCCTAGCGTCAGGAGTAAGGAGCTAAGAATTTTTTTCGGGTATTCTTACCTGCTTCTTCCTGATCTTTTTCAGTGGGCGACAGGCTGGATGTCTCGGATCCTTGGAGTCTCCCCAGGACGACCGACGATCGCATGCAGGCCCGCTGCGGTGAGTCGGCTGCGACGGTCCCGCTCTGGCGGGGTGGCCTATGGGTTCGTCCCAGGGGGTGCATATGACTGGGGGTCTCGGCCGCCCAGTCACAGTACTCCCCACAGGCTTCTGGCGCCGCGACTGCGGTCGGGGGCGCCAGTCTTCCGCAGTACCTGTGCACCTGGATCTTCCATGTTCCCTGTGCAGCTGCTCGACCTGGATGCTGCGGATGGTCCACGCTCCCCGGCGGTATGTATGGCGCTGCGTGGGCACGTGGTGGGGGTGGGGGGGTCCGATCTCCCTTTGGGCTTCCTGGCCTCCTTCAGCCACCCCCCTATCCCCCCCACTCCCATCCCCCTCCGTCAGCTCCTGGGGTGGCGTAGGGGTGTTGTGGCACTGTGGGGCCTTACCTTGGAATACTATGTACACGGTTTCCGGGGCTCGTTGCGCCCCGTGTTGGCTTCGGCCCTGGTCTCGCAGACCTTGACTGAGTGGATGAAGATGCTGCGTCAGGGTCTTGCAGAAGAAAACGTGTCTCCTGCTTATGTCAACCTTACGGAGCAGGTGGTGCAGGGTCTGCAATACCTGTGTAATTCGGCCTTGGACGCGGCACCGTTGGTTTCCAAGCTGTCTGTGTCGGCGGTTACTCTTCGGCGCCTCCTCTGGCTTAAATGCTGGTCGGCTGACCAGGCTTCCAAGAAGGCTCTGACGGAGCGTCTGTTCGGGACTACCTTGGATGAGATCATTAAGGATCTGACGGGCGGTAAGAGTACCTTCCTACCTCAATCTAAAAAGCCTAGGGAACAGCGGCGGAAGCCGGGTCCTTCCTTTTCCGCTCACAAGCGGCTTTTTCGTCCGCCTCCGCCCACTGAGAAGGGCGGGAAGTTCAACAGACCGCCGCCTTCCCAGGCCGCCAAGCGCCCCTGGCAGCCCAGGAACGCCAAGCCCCAGGGTAAGCCCCCCTCGGCATGAAGGCCTGCCCCCATCCCGGGATTCCAGGTACTCTCAGTGTTGCAGGAATATCCCTTTGAGCCTCTGCGCGACATTCCAATTCTGACTATCTCAAAAAGTGGCCTTTCTGGTGGCGGTCACCTCGATCCGCAGGGTCTCGGAATTGGCAGCCCTCTCTTGCTCGTCCCCGTTGCTGGTCCTGCATCGGGACAAGGTGGTTCGGCGGCCTCGGCCGTCTTTCCTGCCGAAGGTAGTTTCGGCTTTCCATCTCAATGAGGACATTGTCCTGCCTTCCTTGTGTCCGAAGCCTGTCCACAGGAAGGAGAAGGCGCTGCACTGTCTGGACGTGGTCCGCGCCATCCGTGTTTATCTGAGTGCTACGGCTGCGTTTCGGGAATCGGATTCCCTGTTTGTCGTTGCAGATGGCCCTCGGAAGGGCCGGGCTGCCTCGTCGGCCACCATCTCTCGATGGATTCTCGACACGGTCTCTCAGGCGTATGCTATTAAGGGGCGTGAGCCTCCTTTTTCTGTTACGGCCCATTCTACAAGGGCATCTTGGGCTGTTCGTCATGGTGCCTCCGTTTCTCAGGTCTGTAAGGCCGCGACTTGGTCTTCTGTTCACACCTTTGCCAAGTTTTATAAGGTGGATGTTTTGGCATCTGCGGATGCTGGTTTGGGGCGCAAAGTGTTGCAGGCGGCCGTTTGAGGGGATTTTTTTGTTTAAGTTGGGTTTGTTGTTTCTGTTGGCCCACCCCTCTTTTTTGGTACTGCTCTGTGACGTCCCTACAGTACATGATCTCCAATCTGTTCCCTGTGTCCTTCAATGAACGGGAGAGAAAATAGGATTTTGGTACTCACCGTAAAATCCTTTTCTCTCCGTTCATTGAAGGACACAGGGCCCGCCCCTCTATGTGGGTGTGTACTCCTTTACTGCTCGTTACTAAACTGGAGACTTGTCAGCAGGTGGGGGGTTTTGGCCACCGGCAGGGGCCGCCCCTAGGCTGTAATTGGTCTTTAGTTTTGTGCCTAGCGTCCTTCTCCTGCAGGTAGCGATATTACCCTACAGTACATGATCTCCGATCTGTTCCCTGTGTCCTTCAAAGAACGGAGAGAAAAGAATTTTCCGGTGAGTACCAAAATCCTATTTTTCAAATTGACATTTTTTGAATTTTTTTTCTTACATTCTGTGCGGAGTATTTCTACAAATTGAAAGTCATTTTGTTACACTAGGAACATGAAATGCAGTGTCTATAAAAGGTATTATTCTTGAATAGTGTACAGCTCATTCAGTAGATAAACTAAACTTGCTTTTTAAAATGTTATTACAAATGGAATAACAAGGACTGTATATGTTAATAACATTTCAACTATACACAAGAACAGGTAAGCACCCCCTTTCCCTCAAAAGCAACAAGACAAGCAACAACATATTTGCAAATTGCAGCTTTGCACTCAGCAGAAGTTGCACTGTGGAAATGTTTCCAAACTCTAGATGTTAGTCTCACCATTTTACTGAGAAGAGGGGAAAAAAAACAATTTACTGAGCAGACTCTAGGTAAACATTATACTGTGATAGTGCAGAATATTATTAGGAATCATTTAAAGGTTATAAAGATAAAACTGATTTGTCAGATAAATGTACCCCTGTAAATTAAGGCCTGAGAGGACAGAAACTATCATCTACTATCATACCAGCAATCACCCAACTGAAGGAAGTACAAGATGGAGCCCACAAGCTAACTAAACTGGAGCCCTTCCTCTGCAGTGCCCCTAGTGGCAGAAATGCTTTATTTATTTTTGAGTTTGAGAACTGCACTGAGAAGTACAGTGTTACTTGAACTGTATTCCAGGATTTGCTTGTCTTCAGCTGAGAGGATGTGCAATAATTTAAGACTTTACAGAAATATACAAAAAAAAAATGGCGTTGGAAAAACAAAACCTGTTTTCTTCCAGCTCTTTCCATCTCTAGTCCAGACGGAGTATACCAAGCTATCCATAAGACCATATGCAAACTAATGGCATCTTCTAAGCTCTAGGGCTCCATTCGCACATAGTGGTAGAGGTTTCTGTGTGGTTTTTCACAAGGAAAACGGCACGGAGCGAAACCGAGCAAACAGTAACATACGCACGGACACCGCACATTTGCGGCTATTACAAAAGCCAGAATGCACGAAATCCGCCCATAAAAATCGCGCTTGGACTGTTTTGAGGGACATGCAGTTTTGTACCGTGTGGCTGTCAAGAGTGGTCTTTGCAATGCCCATTGCAATGCATTGGTTTTTATGTTTAGCGCGTTTCCCCTCATGTGTGAATGGAGCCTTATACTGTGCACAAGCTTTGCAGCTGTATTATGAGTAGCGCAAAGCTACTTACAATGTAACAGACATCTCATATTTTACAAAGGAGCTAGGGACAGGAAAATCTTGACCTAAACACAAGAGTTCAAATATACGCTTGCAAGATAACTCAACCCAAGGTTTGAGACATTCAACCTGCAAACAATTGCTGTTGCAGAAAAAAACCAAAAACATCCCTGGGCTATGCCACTGTTCTGCTATGCCCATTTATGTGTTTGCCTGACCACAAAACATCTATACAACTAAAGGTGGAATCCTTTACTCACATGCAGTGTTATTTAAATGGTGATCTTGTAGAGTGTGGAGTTCTCCCAAAATGGAATCCATTTTCGGTTTCTTTTCCAAGAGTACCCCAACTTTACTAAAGAGTGGAGTTCTGTCCTCCAAAACAGGCTCAGAAGTGGATGAGTTCAAACTTCGGGAAACCTCTCTTGTGAGGGAGAGGCTCTCTGCTTGTCTTCTATTATCTGGTACAGGAGGACTCTAAAAGTAAAAACACCACAAAAGCACATTAGAAATACAAAACAGAAATAAAGATTTAAGCTTAATCAATCTGTAACTGAAATTTCCTGATAGGATTGGAAACAAAGACCTTGTTATAGAAGTGCAAAACTGAAGTCCTAGAAAAAGCAATGACAGAAATGCACAGCATGTAGACTGTCAGAACTATTGGGGCTAAAAGGAATTAAACTATAAGGCCTATACATACTATTCTACACATTGTAACATGGGCACCCTGGAAGCCATCTTGTTCTGTCTATTCTAATAGTATACAAGGTGAATTTGAGTTCATGTTTCTGGATAAAGACTCTAATATTAGATATTCTTTGAGCCTTATCCCACACATTCCCAGGTGGTAAATTGTGGGGGTATCAGACAACAACCACAAGATAAGGACTGGCCTTGAGCTAGACAGTGTTAAGGTGCCTATACAACTTTTGATTATCGTACGATAATCGCAGGAAATCCCACAATTGTACGATAATCGGCAGGTGTATGGAAGGCGCGCGACCGTTTCTACTGTACGGCCGCATATCTGTTGTCTAACGAGCATGTTTCAAAACCCGCAGAGAATCATACGATTGTCGGCGGGTTTGAATGATGCTCGTAAGACAAATGCCGAACGGGCCGGTGTGAGCAAGCTCACACTGCCCGTTCAGCATCGCAGTCATCGGAAGCCTTTCTGCCTGTCCAAGATGGGCAGATCGTACGAGCTTTTAATTAGCTTCCAACCATCGCAAAACAAAAGTATTGCAATGGTTGTAAGGTGTATGGGCACCTTTAGAATGAGATTGTTATGTCTCAAACTTAAGAACTAAAGAGACTATGATTTTTTTTTTTCATTACTGGAAAAAGGGCTCATTATAAAAGTTGCCTTATATAGAGTATTAATTGAAATAATTTGTATTAGCAATAATTTCAATTGTATTATTAGTATTGCATGAAGCATCTACATATTTACTTAATGGAATATATATATATTTATTTTAGGGATGCACCGATGTATCGGCCGAAAATGGCACTTTTGGCCAAATGCCGAAATTGCCATTTTCCTGCCTATACATCAGCGCATCCCTGTTTTCTTTCCTCCCCGCTGGGTGCTGCTCTGTGTCCCAACGGGGAGGAAAGAAAGTGCGACAGCCGGCCGAGCACTGCGGGAGGAGAGCGGCCGGCGTCTCTCCTCCCACAACGCTCAGCATCCTATCACAGTCCTGGAGAGCGGTGTCTGGGAGGAGACGGGGCGCGCTGTCACAGGAGGCTGGGCTCTCCTCTCGCACCGCTCGCTCAGCCTCCTGTGACAGCGTGTCAGAGAGGAGAGCAAGGTACACACACTCAGCGATCACTGATCACTGAGTGTTTCAATATAATTGGAGGACATGGTATGGTTACTATATCCTCAATTATGAATTAACCGGAAGTGATCTACATCACCCCCTGTTCATTCATGATTGTGGTTATAATAAACACACACTGTTCTGAAGTTATGAATGAACAGGAACACACCTGTTCATCTATAACCGGGGCTGCAGAAAAAGAGATTGAGGGACTTTGTGTCCGCAATCTCTTTTTCTATTTTAAAAGGGAAATATCAGGGGTCTATTTAGACCCCTGATATTTCCCAAAGCCCCTAAAAGTAAAATTGAAAGAAAAATGTAATAAAAAAAAAATTTTAAAAACATTTTCGGTTTCGGCCTGACAATTTTTAAAATTTTGATTCAGTTTTGAAATTTCCATTTCGGTGCACTGGCTCTGCCTCTGGATAGGCAGAGCCATCTGTCACTCACGCAGCTGGGCGGATCCAGACATAATTGTCGGGATCTGTTTCTGCTGCTGCATCTCAGTATTCCGCAAGCTGTAGCTGTATACTGAGCTTAGGGTGACGGGAGGACGCTAGTTTGTGTCCTCCTGTTACCCTTAGGAGAACTATGGGGGAAAGCGCTAACCCCATAGTTCTCCTTTAATTACAGATACTTGCTTGTTTCCATAAATAGAAAACTGTTTATTTTATCATCAGAGTAAACATTCTGACAAGACAACACATTCATCTTACCTGAACATCATGCAGCTGGTTGTGAAAACGCTGGATGAGATCATTCAATTCTTCATTCAGCTCTGATGTTAAGCTCAGTCCTGACAAACTTCCAGTAGTCTCTGTAACAACTTCAAAGACCACAAAAGAAAAACAAATAATATTTTGATATAGGAGTATATAGTGTGTGTGTGTGCGCACGCGTTACATAAATACACATTATTTTGTAAGAACTCCACTATGCACTATTTGTACCTCAAAGAACTTGGCAAAAATGGAGGCTGCCAATGCTGAAAACAGTGGAGTGACACTTCCCTAGGATGTTTCAGAACAGAACAAAAAAGAGGGAAGGACAATGTCCTGATTAAGATGAAGAGGACACTGGCCAGTGTCCAATCACCTGCATATTGCCCAGTCATCTCTGAATCTGCCTTTGTCCTACACAATCAAGAAATATAAGCAATGGTGAGAAGCAAATACCTCATACTAAAAAGGCGGGAACAGAGTGCAGACTGCGCACGCGTGACCCTCCAGTTAGTGACGCAGCATTTAAATTGCCCAGCACGTTAAACTCTTTTTGTTTAAACCAAGGGGAACAAAAATGGGCGAGGATAGTGGCCAAAATTTGCAATACATGTGGTAGCTGCCAATGTTGGCCCACATAGGGCACTCTAGAGTGTCTTCAAAGACTGGGTCACACCAGAGGCTGTGCCAAGGCTCTGGACCTGGAAAGCACTGGAAGCCTAACTAACACAGTACACAAGGTGTAAAAAGCACCAGAAGCAGGTCCCAGTGCCTGAAGGTCACATTGCCAGAGGGCCCATAATCTTTGGTCCAGCGGGGTTTGGGCAGGCCCCCAAAAGCTATTGCTGAGAAAACAATGATCCAGATAGCTGCAGAAAAAACCCAGCTCAGCAGCAGGTAAAGTCTTGTTTAACCAGTTGACATCCGCGGTGTTAAACCCCCTTCCCATCCAGGCCATTTTTCAGTATTCAGCGCTGCGGTACTTTAACTGACATTTATTCTGTCATGCAGCGCTGTACTGAAATGAATTTTATACCCTTTTTTGGGGACAGATAGAGCTTTCTTTTGGTGGTATTTATTCACCACTGGGGGTTTTATTTTTTTAATTGCCGTCTGGAGACGGCAACCCGCAGATGCTGCAGTGCCGTCCGTCCGTTTTTTTACTACGGGCGGATGGCAAGAGGTTAAAGAAAAAAGTTGAAAAAGAGAAAATGGATAGCAAACATGCTTAAACTTTTTTCAATAGCGAAAAGACATCCATCCTTTCTAGGACACTAGCAAAATAACTGAAGCATGATGGGAGGGGGGTCATACCTGGCTAGCCAACGGCTTTGCTTTTTTTTACTAGTGTCCAACTTCTCCTAAAGACAACAGTATAACTCAATGGTCTCTGAATGGCTGATCCTTTTGGCCACTAACCCAGAAGAAGTATGCAGATAAGGATTTCTGGCTAATCATCATACTTGTTTTTGGGTCAGTGGCTGGGAAAGCAGGTTAGTATAGCAGCCAAACAACTCATATTATCAGAAGGTCAGCAATGGATGGGTGACAAAAAGGCTGATAATGTCGACTTTTTAAAAAAAAATAAAAAAAACCTTTACTACCTTCCTGGTGGTCATGCTGACCCTCATGATTCGATATTTATGTAATTGACACACTACAAGCATACATAAAAGACTTGACTCTCACTGACCGTCCTAATCTGTATACTCGTTTCAGGTCAATGCAACACATATTGGAGTCAATGATGTGATCAGGTCAATGATTCAGAAAGTATTGAAGCCAGTGGGTCAAAATTAGAGCCAGGGGGCCATAAATGGCAGTCCCCCAAGTTGCTCCATTACAGAGAAATGTTCACAAATCCTCAAACAGTGCCAGAAAAATGATACATTTTTTCTCTGGGGAATAGTATATTTTATGCTTGCATACAAATGCATGCAGGCGTCTTCATTGGACGTAAATGTCCTTTCTCTACAAAAGGTTTTAATATGATTTTGAGTCCTCCCATGCAGTGAGGGAAGTGAGAACAAAAACAAAAAACAAAAAAAACGGACTTGTTTTATAATGTTTTAAAGAAGAATGAAATGGCTCACTTACCAGAGTCATCCATCACAGAGATTGCTTGTTCGCTCTTGTGCTGCAAGGCAAGAAGAGCTGCCTGTCTTCCTTTCAAGGTCCTGAGCTGCTCTTGTTGTTGCAGGATCCTGGTCAGCAATGCATGTTGTTTCTTCATATTTTTTAATTCTTCTTTGGCCTCTTGTTGAGGGTCTAATGCCTGAAAATTAAACCGTAATTTAATATAAATTCCAATGACTGGCATAACATTTAGCAAGAATTACAAAACAAAACACTTGTATGAAAAATTTCTTTAGCCACCAGTGCAGTTCAACCAAATCTATAGGGCAAAACTAAGCCCTCGTTCACACCTGAACGTTTTGTAGCGCGTTCTACGCTCGACGAACGCTCTACAAAACGCTCAAAAATATAAATCCAATTCTATTCAATGGTCTCGTTCCCACCTTGGCGTATTTCCGCCCGTCCCTAACGCGCTACAAAACGGCCCACGCCTGAAAAGGTACAGGTACTACTTTGGGCCGTTTTGTTGCGCGTTTCCATTGGGATACAGCCAAGTAGCCTTCGGAAACGCGCAACTTTTTTACCGCGAATCGCGGTAAAAAACGCGTGACAGACACGCATATGCAATACGCCTAGGTGTGAACGAGACCTAAAAGGTTCTTTGTATGAACTAGACCGAAAGCTGTTCTGTTACCATGCTCATCACAGTCCCCTAACAGGGCCACAGAAGCCAAAAAGTCTGCGACTTGCCGATTGGTCCTGGTAGCGTGAATTATATTGTATTTTACTGCCATGGGAGGCTCTGTTGGAGAGATTCCTCCACTTCCTGTCTGGTAAAATGTTGCCCCCAGGACAGGAAGTGAGGGTATCTCTCTCCAACAGCAATGCAGCAGAAGTAAAACATGGTTCATGTGCTTCTAGTGTAAAATCCTTTTCTTGTAGCTCATGAGCAGAAACAGGGTTTTTTCCCCCAGAAGGTTATGCTGCTGCCTGCAGGAAATTGGACACACGCAACAAACCTGTTAGTCAGGCAGATATAATCCCTCCCACTCCCATCAAACTCCAGTGACTCATAAAAGCCAGAGACGAGACCTCTATTCCTTAATGAACTCCAGGAGAAAGATTTTACTTTTAAACTCCATGGTTCAGAAAAGTTAACCCTTGCAGTGGAGCTACCCCAGCACTGCAAGGCTTGACTGCTCGTTTTTCCATAGGGGTGAAAATAATGAAGAAATATTCACCTAATTATCGGTCCTTCAGCAGTGACCGTTCACTTCTCTCTCCCCCTCCACTCCAGCTATGGCATGTCTCTCAGCATCTTCACATCTAATAGACCTGTATTAGATGCGATGATGTCATGCCCCTTAGACTGCCAGAGCCTGGGGAAGAAGAGGCTGCGTGGGCCTGGTCTAGCCGCCAGGCAGGTCTGAGGATTGGCCGAGTATGTCTTCTTTGAGTTCCCTAGAGAAAAAGAGCAGTTAACCCTTGCAGTAAGGGGGCAGGCCAACTGCAAGGGTTAACTTTTCAAAATTCTGGAGTTCAGCTTGAAGTACAAAAATCCTACTTTATTAGACGACACAGGGTTAATATTGGGGGGGGGACCCCAAATGCAGTCCAAATGAAAGAGCGTGCAACACAGCAAACGCCAACAAGCTCTCCAAAACAACAATATACAAATGTGATAAGAGCAAAGAGCTGCCTGATGGAGCAGATGTCTGAAGGTGGCGTAAGAAGAGGACTAAACACCTGATAGAACGCCGCAAATGTTTGAAAAGAGGAGCAAGTGGCAGCCTTGCCAATCTAAGAAACAGATGCCTGAAAAGCGATGATCTAATGGAGTGCGTCTTGGCAGGAAAATGTGGAACCTTCTCCTCAAGTCTAAAACTTTAATGATAATCTGACTAAGCAACATAGCAATAGTGGAGCGAGAGGGAGGTTGTCCCTTCCAGGTTCCAACCAAGCAGAATCAAGTCGGTCTGTCTTGCAAGACATGGTTTCCTCCTTGATTGACTTATGCCACAGCAGTGGTGTTGTCCAACTAAATCCTGGTTGGAGAACCCTGCAGTTGAGAGGTTCAGCAGTGGAGGGATACCTTAATTGATTTGAATTCCACTATGTTGATTGGGATGCAAGCTTCCCTGGAGACTCAATCCCCTGCACTGAAAAGGTGTCCAGGACTCCTCCCAAACCTATTAGGCAAGTGTCCTTCGTGAGAAGCTTCCAGACCAACAGAAGTAAGGATTTTCTCAACTCTGGGGCTGGATTTGTGAACCACCAGACCAGGTCCTGGATGTCAGGCACACACCATTGTCCAGACACCGTGCCTGAATGTTGAGTTGCAATGGAGTGAAATTAGGCATTTAGAATGGCCTCAACCATCAATCCCAGAACCCACATGCAAAAGCCAAGGGTTTGCCGGCTCTTGTGTTGCAGAGAATGCCCACAGCAGAACCCAGTGCCCTATGGTCACATTACAGGATGGCCATATATCATCATAGTGGGGTCTGGATACGGCCTCCATAGCTATGCCGAGGATCAGCTAACCCAGAAAATGCAGAACTGTTCTCTGGCTCTAAAGTAAATACATTATCTTAAGGAAAAGAGAATCATGATCTTATTAGAAAGTTTTGTAGAAAGGTAGGGCTGCAACAAGTAATCGACATAAATCGATTGAAAAAGTTGTCAACTTTTTCAATCATCGAATAATCGGCTTCCGATTGGTTGGCCCCGTCCACGGCTCCACACACGCTGCGCGCCACACCTCCTCCCCACCTCACTCTCGGCGCTGCCAGACCCGCCCAGCTGCATCCACGCCCACCCACATCCACGATCGGCACAGGGACGCGGGGAGAAGAAGTAACGAGGAGCAGGTGTGGGCGGATGACAGCCACCGATAGACAGGCCCGATCTCAGAAACAGGTTACTGGAAGACTGCTCAGGTAAGCCTGCACTTTCCCCCCACATGGTGCTCTATAATGTATTGCTGGGATAGGGGGATTAGTATTCCTCTATAGCTGATGGTACATTCTGCTGTACTGTATATTATACAGAGCAATGTACCATCAGCTATAGAGGACTACAAAACCCAGCAATACTACATTATACAGCGCAATGCAGAATACCACCAGCTATAGAGGACTACAAAACCCAGCAATACATTATATAGCGCAATGCAGAATACCACCAGCTATAAATCGAGTCTGACAATTGACTAGCTGGTTAATTTTAAATGTTGTCCCATTAGAATAAGAAGTCACGAGATGATTATCACCCAAACTACTGCAGCTTGAACATCGGGCTGCATTACATCTGTATAGACCTGTTGTTCTTAACCAATTCATGCTGGGTCCTCTCTTGCTTTTAAAAAGACTGGGGGAAATCATATTGCCTGTACTAGGTACTTTCCTAGCTGCAAAACGTATACCTGTATCTAGTATATCTCTCAAGATCTGTATCCCCATGAAGAATAGGCAAGTACCTCTTAATCTTTTTAACATCCTCAAATTGTTGACTATAACGGGTAGAAAATACTAAAGGGGGAATTCTTACTCTTCTCTTCTCCAGGGGTAACCCTCCTATCCCTAATTTTCCCTATCCTCTTGGGTACATCACTAAGTAAATTATATTCTGGTCTGTATTTGTTACCTCTATGAATAAGCCTTCGGGTGAAACATGTGAGAGGTTGTAGTTGGTTGGGGGTGTGCAGTGCTGGCATTTGTAGCTTTATACACTTTTTCACTGACATATTGGATTTGCTGTGAATTTTAATAAAGTCTGCAGTATTGGAATTCTCTGGATAGTGCGGTCTGTTCGTATACTGCTGCATTCTAAGGTGGAGACGCACCTATTGGACCAGCACCTGGGGAGTCCTGATGGTGGCTAAGGAATTGGAGCGGTGAGATTTATTTTGGCTCTACAATACTACATTATAGCTGGTGGTATTCTGCATTGTGCTGTATAATGTACTATTGCTAAGTTTTGTAGTCCTCTATAGCCTGCGCCATTCTGCATTCATTGCTGTATAATTTTACACTTTTCATTTCACTATATTGCACACCACACTTTTTTTTTTTCTTTTTTACTTCCACGGCTCCACGCTTGCGCCTGTTATGGACTGCAATCTCAATACAAACTAGCACTCCCATCACTGGAGCAATTTTTTTTAAATCCGATTAACCAAACTTAAATCGATTTTGAAAATAATCGTTAGCTGCATCTCTATAGAAAGGGTTTTGCTTCTCTTAGAGAGGTAAAATACCTACTCTACTAAGACACTGAAAAAAAACTGGGGCTTAATGGGATGGCTACAATATGTTAGCTTTTTATTGTTGTCTGTTTCCCGGTTGCAGATTTTCCATTACTTCCTGTCTTGGTAAAAGGTGGTCCCTAGAACCGGAAGTCAGGCGAT